TACCTCTGGTCTTGCTGATGGGTGGTGGTGGGTAAGGAGGGGTGAGGATGGGGGTGGGGGGGTCGGCTGGCTGCGGGAATGTGAAGTGAGCGCTGGGGTCCGTCCCAAATGACTGCACACACAAAAAAAGGATTTAACTGTTTGTCACGATTGTCCTCTCACACTTTGGCCTGCTAGAAAAAACAGCACAAGACCCCTGAAACAGCACCCGCTTCCCCCACACCCCTCTCCCCCTCAAACATGACTCACCCACTCACTGCTACACACCCCTCTGGCCCCAACCTTTCTCCTGACCCAGGCCGCGTGCACAAAGGGCCCATCAGAAGTATCGCTGGCCACATTTACAAGTGAAAGAGCCCCAATAATGGAGTGGTTAGGGAGAAGAATGACGAGACAGAGGGGGCACTCACAGATGTGGAAGGGGGAGGAAGGAGCAGCGTCCCATTGTTGACCCCCCCCCCCACCCCCGCTTCTCTGACGGAAAGGAAGGAGAGGCCTGGAAAATAATGCAGAGGTAATTCCGGAAACTGAAACAAGTGATTTCATCAGAGAGGAAGTAAAAGTCAGGGGAAATAAAAGGAATATTTTTATGTTTCAAATAAAAAACTGATCCGATCCTTTTCCTGGGAGTGTGTGAAAACCAGCTCGGCGGTCAGGAGAGGTGTGTGTCTTTTTGTGGACTAGATGGCGACAAACAGCAACAGCAGCTGTGGCGAAGAGGCCTCTGAGCTGACATTTGAACCCCTCCTCTTCCTCACATCGTCTCGGTGGCAGTGGCGGGGGGGCGGAGGCAGGGAGCTGATGAAGTCATCACAGGAAGAGCTTGGTGAAACGTGGCAGATATAGGAGGCAAGGCCGCACTTCTCAGGACCATCCAGGAGACTTCCAAAGGAGGCAAAACTGTCCGAGGTGGAAACCTGTCAAACTTCAACATTTAAAACTTCAATCAAAAAACAAAGTTAGGATGTTGTGGAAATGTTTAAACCAGGGGTCTGCAACCTTTACGATAAAAGGAGCCATTTCTGCTCCTTGTCTCACTAATAAAATGTGTTCAGAGCCACAAAACAAGCTTCACCTGTGATTATAAACTGGTGTTCAGTGGGCCTTTTCAAGGCCTTTTTGGGAACTTTTATGATCAGTGGAGGAGACGTTATAAAACTAAAGGAATATTGTTGTTATTATTATTATTAGTTATAATTATTATACACATCAGGACAAATAAAAATACCATATTCATGTAAACAAGAAAAATGCTGTATAGTTTATACCGAATTTCATAAAAACTAGTACAATTTAATTATTCAGGCGTATTTATTTTCTAATTCTTAATATTATGTAGCCTTCAAATTCTTTAAAGGTAATTCTGATGGATTTGAGAGAGAGAGAGAGAGAGAGAGATCATAGAAAATGGAATATTTAAGTAAACAACAGGATAGCATGAGCTAACATGTTTTACTTTTTGTATTAGTATTGATCACATACAAATTTATTTCTGTTGTGAGTATAAAAAAAACAAATTATGTTATGTTTGGTCACATTTTCAAAGAGCCACTGCAGAGGGACCAAAGAGCCACATGTGGCCCCAGAGCCGCAGGTTGCAGACCCCTGGTTAAAACCAACAAGTTGTATGCCTTCTTTATTAAAGATCATTATAATTTCATGGCAGAATAATAATAAGGAACAGATGCTTGGGAAGAGCATCTTCTTCTGGAGATTTTGGATGGAAACATCTCATTCCAGCTGACAGAGTTAATTCCTGTATGAATAATAAAGTTTTTAACGCAGAGCTCCAGTGATCAGAGTGAACTCTGGGTAAAAGTTAGGAATCAGCATCAGCAACAAAAACACCAAATCTTAGGTCAATATCTGTAAAATCAACTGATAATGGTCATATGGGTTTTTAAGACTAGTTGGCTGCAAAAGTTAATCAGTTGTCAATGTTTAGGGTGGTTAGCTTTAGCATATTAGTATTAGCATTTAGTACAGAGGTGCCCAAAGTGGGGCCTGTGGGCCAAAATTGGCACGCCAAGCCATTTGATTTGGCCCACCAGCCGTTCTCCTGGCTGGCAACTAAGTTGTATTCTTCTGTTTCATGTAGAAACACTATATTTCAACTTAACTACATAAGGAACTTGTGCAGATAGTCTTAACTCATGGTACTTACTTTATCTATGAATTATACTAAAATTAAACATAAAATACACTACAAAAAACATTTAGATTAGATTTAAGCACGTCTAGATTTGCACTTAATAAGACTACAAATGCTCAAATTTTAATTTATGAAAAGTCCCATGAGCCTTTGCTGCTCGAGTGTACATCAAATTTTCTTCATGCGGCTATCAAAAAACATACAAAAGAATGTAGCATTTAGCATTTCAAATTAATAATTACTTCCTGAAATAAAAAGGTTGGATGAAATTCTCATTAAGATCTGTTAAACCATTCATGAGATATTTTACTAACAGTTCAAACAAACATCCTCACTGTGCCACTGAGCTACAGTTCGATGTGGTAGTAGCTGAGAGTCGTTCTCAATGCAAGACTCTGGAATGAAAGGTGGTAGGCGACATGCACTCCTTCAAGGAATGCTAGGCCTTTTATTTAGTTCTGCACATAATTGAATAAATCTTAAAGTTCATTTAAAACACTGAACAATCATTGATGAGCTGTAAACAATTTGAGCTTCATTTGTTTCATAATTAAAGTTACAATAAAAAAATTAAAAAAAAAACTTTATAAAGTGCATCAGGAGTGTTTGTACATCAACACACAGGTTAGGTTTAAAATTAAATCATTACAGAACCTGATCAATTAAAAGGTAAGTGTTTAAAAACTGTGAAATCTGCTTCAAAAAAAGGTCTTTACTGCCACCTGATGGCAGAAGAGCAGATATGACACAACTGCTGCAAAGTCTTAATACAGTCAGCTCCAATTTATCACCATTTTTATATTAAAACCAGTTTGGCACCAAAATAACCTGAGTGGGCTTTGATATCATAACTCAAATATTTAACCTGATGTTTATTTACGAACAAATATGTGTCAACATTCATACATCAATACTTTTTTAATGTTACATGAGTAAATCTTTAGCAATTTATCTTTTTCCTAACAGTTGAAATCATTTTAACATTTTGTGTTTTTAAAGGGATCCATCATTAGTTGTAACATTMGACTTTAYTTAATAAACATTTATTTTAACTGTAAAAGAAAGACTGTAAAAATACTGTAGGCTGTTTGGTTTTTATAATTTTTAAAAATATATTTTTAACACGGATGGACCCATTTTATTTACACACAAAGCATTCTGGGTAAATGATGACGTGGATAGGTCCTCGGTGCGAGGCTGCTAGCGAGCTATATCCACCCTGAAGGTTAATCTTGGACAATATCTGATGATCGAGTCTTTTAAATGAAACCAGAGAGCGTTGACAGAGAGGAGAAGGTAGAAATGACTCAGCCTGTAACTGAAAATATGGATGGAGGACAACAGAGCTGCTTCATGGAAGAAGAACCTCAGCTTAGCCTATTAGCTTTAGCGCTGACGCTATATTGCCTTATATGTATTAGCTCAGCACTAGCCCGACAAACAAGCTAAACTGAGGTCCTAAATCCATATTTTCAGTTCCAGGCTGAGTCATTTCTACTTTCTCCTCTCTGTCAACGCTCTCTGGTTTCATTTAAAAGAGTCGATCATCAGATATTGTCCAAGATTAACCTTCAGGGTGGATATAGCTCACTAACAGCCTCGCACCGAGGACCTATCCATGTCATCATTTACCCAGAATGCTTTGCATGTAAATAAAATGGCCCCATCCGTGTAATATATTTTTAAAATTTTAGTTTAAAAATTATAAAAACTAAACAGCCTACAGTATTTTTACAGCCTTTATTTTACAGTTAAAATATGTTTATTAAATAAAGTCTAATGTTACAACTAATCATGGATCCCTTTAATGACTTTTCATAATATTTTTATCTAAGACAATTTTACCAACTGTGCCTTTTGTTGGTTGTTTATCTGTTGAATTGGCAGCAAATATAGATAAAAATGAGCTTGAAAATTAAAAAATCTCTGATTTCTTTCAAGAAAAGTACATATTCATAGGGGAAAAAAAACATAAAAAACCACTTGTGTTCCACTTCAAGCTCCGGTCCTGTTCCAGAGGATCCGGAGCTCTAGGTTTTTGAGGGTTCTGATCCATATCTTGCCTGTTTTGAGGACTGAGCTCTTCAGGACAAAGATCTGGGATCTGTTAGAGCTATTGGGAGAAGTTACCATATTTATTTAAGTATAATACGTAAAATTTAATYCATAAAATCACCCATAAAGTTGGGGGGTAGTATTATACTCCGATAAATATTTTTACTTATGTATTTTAACCGAAATATCGGCTTCATTCGCAAAATGCCTGAGACCGGAAATGAGACCACGACGTAAAAAGCAGCTGAAGCGAGCTCACCTGTGACACTCCTCCGTGCTTCAGAGCGAGATAATAACAGATCCAGGCAGGCGACATGATGTGAAAAATGGGGGGGGAAAGTATTCCTGCACCTTAGTAATGATAACAAACTAATGACATTAGCGTGTGACTGGACTGCTCCTCCAACAACAAACACATGTTCGTCTGTAATGGCTGCCRTCTRCYGRTGTTCTGAAAAAGTTTGTATCCCTGAAAAAAGTTTCCCCACCAGAGGGAGCGCTCGCAAGTAGGAAGTAATCTGCTTTTCCACCACAAGATGGCCCAAACCTCATATGAAGTCTCTGACTTTTGTGTTGCTCCTGGTGGACTATGTGTAAAATGCCAGAATTCATATGATGCCGCTACAGCTGACTTATATTTGTTGTCAAAATACCTTTTAGTACATATGTTGTTAAAATAAAATGAACAGTCCACTGATCATTTTACTGATATGTATAAAGACTGCAAAGGCTGAAAAATCTTGAAGTCTGTATGAAATTGGAGGTAGTTTGAGGATTAAATTTTTTATGTTTTTTAAGCTCAAAAAAGGGGGGGTCGTATTATAAATGAGATCGTATCATACACGAATAAATACGGTAAGTCTCATAGCTCTGATGCAGAAGTGCAAGTGACATGATGAACGACAGACAGAAAAATATATCCATGTCGGCTCGGGACGTCGTCCTGATTAAGATCCAAGACCTCCTCTGTCGGCTCTCTGGATCAAACATTTTATGGACATTCCTGAGGTGTCTGAAGGCAAAGGTAAAAATAAATAAATAAAGATGAATGACGTTAAATTCCAATACCTGATGGCGTCCAGCGAACCTCATCGTACAGTTTCCAGTTTAAAACTACAGCTGACAGTGCCTCTGTCCGTCTGGATCAGAGGGTTATCAGTTCATGTTTTCCTCTGAATCGTTCCTCTTTAAATCCAGAGAAGTCACTCGGCAGTTTCCTCCATTCGCTAACCCTTGTCAGGGGGCGTTCCCCGGCGGTGACTCCTGAGCCACAGGTTTACCTCCCAGCAGGACGCACCGTTTTGCAGCCACGTCTCTTCGTGAAGTCTCAAAAACGCGGTCCTGCTCGGGCTCAGAGGAAGAAGTTGATTTTGGCAGAGACGGCCTTGCAGCCGGTGGTGGAGAAGTACCGTTCCTGAACAGGCGAGTAGAGCACGTTACGCCCCACCGCCTCCACCACGTCGCTGCGGCCGCAGCTGCCTCGCTGGCAGAGCTGCGAGCGCGCGCAGCGCTCCACGTGGCTCCGGGTCAGAGGCAGGAAGGGAACAAAGTGGGTGATGAGCTTCTGCTTGATGATGCTGGACTCAAAGAATCCACCTGGAGACGAAAACGTCACTTTAGTTCCTGTCAGGGAGCAGTTTCTGAGCCTGTGTTTAAAATCAACCCACTGAGCTAAAGTTACCGACAAGTTTCGATTTGTCTCGAGTGAAAAATACAAATAAATTTGCAATAGATTCAAAAATCATACAAGGTCATTTTAATAGTATTTGGAATGAATTTGGAGGGAGACGTCTCATTCCAGCTGACAGAATTAATTCCTGTAAGAATAATAACGTTTAAACACAGATCTCCTGTGATCAGAGTGAACTCTGGGTAAAAGTTAGGTATCAGCATCAGCAACTAAAACACCAAATCTTAGGTCAATATCTGTAAAATGAACAGATAATGGTCAATTGGGTTTTCCATAGTTGGCTGCAAAATTTGATCACTTGTCAACATTTAGGGATTTATGTGGTTAGCTTTAGCATATTAGCATTGGCATTTAGTACAGAGGTGCCCAAAATGGGGCCTGTGGGCCAAAATTGCCATTTGATTTGGCCCACCAGCAGTTGTATGAATAAAAATCATACGAGGTCATTTTGATCAGCAATGCTAACAGCTGCTGCATAATAAGTTATATAATAAATATAATCATTTTATCTGGTACTAACTGGCAAAGAAAGTCAAAAAGTTATTTTTCACGTTTGATTACCTGCAGACTTTTAAACAAAGCAGCTGAATCATCTGAATTTGGTGTTTACACCCTGAGATTTAATGTCCTGATCAAACCAAATTTAATATAACAGTATTTTATGTCTGTCTGTGACACAAATTAAAAATAAAAAACAAATTTAAAAAATTTGAAAACACTTTCAGTTTTTTGCAAGTTTGTATGTTTCTAAAAAATTTATTTGAGTGTTTTATCTTGACCAACCAGAACATTTGGTTTCCCCTGACAAAAAAACAAAGTAAAATACTGAAATGTTTGTAAGAGACAGCTAAAAGCTATAATGCATGTGTTAAGTTAGGAAGATCTCTGATTGTGCTGGATTAGATCTCAAGATTTATTTATTTATTATTTAGCCGTTATTTAACAAGGATATATTCCTAATCCTGACCGACTCTTACTTGTGCTGTCGTTGTAAACAGCCTGTGCGATGGCGTCCTCCAGATCAGCCAACTTAATCTCATCTCTCTCCCGTCCGGCCTGTCGGTTCTCCAGAGCCACTTTGTTTATGACCCCCTCTCCTGTGGTGCTGCAGGAAACACAAACCAGAAGCTCCAACCACCTCGGGATAGTATTTGTTGTTGTTGTTTTGCTTTTATCTTTGCAGAAAGAGACAAGTTAGCTAAACCTTTATTTTCACTTAAGGCAGAGATTCTTAACCTGTGGGCCGTGAGCGCCACCTTGAGGGCCTCCAAAGAACAACAGTTTTTAACTTTGGGCCGCGGGACCACGTTGATTTTGAATAAAGTGCAATACACTTTCTCACCACTAATGGCGGTAGTGCGCCACTCAGATGTTTAACAACTTATTTAATATGTAGAAGAAGAATCTCAGAAACCTGCTGAGAATGGAAACCTTTTTAAATGAAAAGTAGAAGCAAAAACGAAAGTAACTCGTCAAAAAAACACTAAAGTTTGACACTAATATGAAAAGCAGCTTCTGTTCTTACCATGCAATATTTCAAAAGTTCAAAACATTATCAAATACAGTTGCAGTCACAACTATATTTTAATTTTCAATTTAAATTAATTTTTGTAGCTTATTTTTAAACATTTTGAATGTATTTTAAAGAAAATTTGAGCTTGTCAAATAGCTGTTGTTACCGTTATTGTTTGTCACTAGTATGAAG